TCTGGCCTCTAAAGGCCGACTCCCGCGAGCCTACGCACCTCCACTCCCCTCCAGACTTCACACCTCCCTTGCCGCTTCCACACGCCTCACAAAGCAACAAACCCAGTACAAAATTAAGTTTCAGACTGATGCATGTACTACAATTTATCCCAAATGTCTACCATTCATGAGTGACTGTTAATACACATATAGACAGATGCCCCCCTCCAATTTGTCAGCATCCCAAAATACAAAAGAAAAATAATTACTGAGCTGGATTGGCTGAGATTATTTCAGATAACTTAATAAAAAAAGTTCAGGGAGGGAGTTCAACAGAATGAGTCAAAATTAATCAGTCACGAAGAAACTGAATTTTATTAATGCATTTAAAGTTTTCCATGTGGTCTCTAGGTCACACATTGTAACCGCACAAACTGCTCCCTAGAACTTTCAAGTAATCAACATTGTGATTTTCTCTACTTGCTAACTGCATTGCCCATCAGCCACATTTTAGTCTGTAAAGTTAAAGAAAAACTTAGAGGCTTTTGTTACTGATATTTACAGAAAATAACTTTTGTGAAAACACGATGCAAATCTTATCAGGGAAAGGTTTAAGAATTGGAAAAAGAACATAGTAAACAATTATAGCTTTCTAATGAGATTTTTCTTGGTCAGACATACCCTAGACATTTCCAGACATGACTAAACTCCAAGATTCCCATTTTCAATTAATACATGTATGTTACCCAATGAGCCCTTCCCCCCCAAGCCACTCAGCATATTACTGCAGAATCTGATGGCCTTTAGTAGAATATTTGGCCTAACTCCAGCTCCACCAGTCCTCATGCTTATTTTTATAGGCATGGCCTCCAGCTTTGCACTCTGGTATGCAACCTAACACCCAAGTCCATTAAATTTTCCACCAAATACACATAAAATTGAACAACAGGTAATCAAGCTGTAGTCTGTTCTCTAACTGCTAGGAGTACACTTATTGCCCTGTTGCACCACAGCATCAAACTTAGCTAATCTTCTTGAAGGGCTTATAGCGACCAGACCCAGGAGGGTACAAGAGGACCATCAGGGGATCCAGATCTGAATGCTCTTGCAAGAGGAGCTCTTACAAAGAAGATCAAAGATTTCAAAGGGGTAAATGAAGCTGGCACAAGGATCTCCAACATCAAACATTCAGCATCAAAAATAACTACTGTGAAAGAGATTATAAAAGACAAAAATTGTATTCTCTTCCAGTGGAATGATCCCATTTATCTTGTCATCTTTGGCTATGGGTAGAGGTTTGGCATTGTTCACTGATAGCTCTGACTTGCCCATTTCATAGAATCATAGAACAGTCTGGGCTGGAGGGAATCTTTAAAGGTCATCTAGTCCAACCCTCCTGCAGTGAGCAGGGACATCTTCAACTAGATCAGGTTGCTTGGAGCCCCGTCCAACCTGACCTTGAATGTTTCCAGAGATGGGGCTTCTACCTCACCCACCTCTCTAGGCAACCTGCTCCAGTGTTTCACAACCTATATTGTAAAAAAATTTCTTCCTTATTATCTAGTTTAAATCTACCATCTTTTAGTTTAAAACCATTATCTCTTGTCCTATCACAACAGGCCATGCCCCCATCTTTCTTATAAGCCCCCTTTGTTGGTTTACCTATCAAGACTGGCTAACAAAATTATGCAACGTCTGGACAGCTTTACAGCATTTTCAAAGCTATCCATGTTACAGGTCTCATTCCTCATAACCAACACTTTTGAAGGTTATAACTGCAACTCCATTTTAAAACTAACATATGTAGCACAGATATAGTCATCAGTCTACAGGAAACTGCTTAGCAACTAGTGTTGAGTAAGGCCTGGTTTACTGCTGTAGAAACATTCTAATCTGTTCATATGGCTTCAGTTTGACTTGGGTTTTTTAAAACTTGGACACATTTAGTAATGCCTACCCAGGAGCACTGACACGAGGGCTAAAGTTAATCCCACAACTGAGCCATGAAAGACCAATCCATTCCTACTGCCCTCTGAAAGGATCCCAAGAGGTCAACTTGTATATGTTGCTTGTTAGAGCCAAAGAAATCTGCAGTCTTTGTTAAGCACCAACAGTAGCTCTTTAATAGTCCAACTTGGTTTCCCCAGGATAGCATGCAACTACAGATTTTACATGGCAAAACACACGTTATTTCCAGATGCAACAAGGGCTTCATTGTGTTCATCTGAGTCTAAAAACAGAAACACAAAGTGTAGTTTTCGTGAGTGAAGTTTGGGGAGAAGAGAGTGGGTGGCAACAAGGAGAACAGAGAGAAGCGTTTGCACTTGAAAACTAACATGGTTGTTACAGGGAGCACTGTTCCAACTGTTACTGTTTTAGAAGTTTTCTAAAATATGCAAGTAGCATAACATTTGCAAGGCAGCAGAATTCAACTGATATGGGAAGGAGATACTATTCCTCAACTGATTTGGTAAATAAAACCATGCAGCACCATAAAGTAATGTGTACACTTGGTAGCAGCATGTGGCACAGACATAACTTCTATTCTCTCCACCACTGATATAGTCAAAGTTTTAATACTTGCAAAGATCTGCAACATTTTTTTTTGCCTTCAGAGTGTGGATTCACAAACAGTACTTGTAAAACCTTAAAAAAAAAATAAAATAAAAATCACACGATCAAACAAATCTGGAGATAAAAAGCGTAAATGATA